TGTGACTTCCACAATACATAATTATTTCTATTCAACTTAAATCAAATTTGGATCTGGAAAATTGGTAGAAGATGAGCTACAGAAGAAGCACAATCCATGTGCTTTCTACGTGGCATAAGTTGATGACAATCCAAGTTTTTTTAAAACAGTCAATCGATCTAACGGCTCTAATTAATCAATCTTTTTACTATATATATTATTTAACTCCTGATTTTTGTTAACCGTTCGATTATTTGATCGGACGACCCAAATTAAATCAAGACTTTTCAGCTTTTCCCAAAATAGTACGCCCCAACACCTCTCTATTCTCTTTCTTTTTCCCAAAAATCATGTTCACCGCCTTCATCTTCTCCAAAAAGGTCACCTCAATCCTCTCCTCCTTCTCCAGAAAGAAAAAAGAACTCCTCTCAACTTTTTCCCTTCCCCAGACGTCTCTCCTTCCCAAACGCTCTCTTATCCCATCGCCTGTGTCAGGGACGATCATAAACCGCTAAATAATGTTGATCTCGATGGTCTCTAACTTTGTCCCTCCGTTAGTCAACTCAACCCCCTTTCAAATAGCCCTGAAAAAGTTGATTCTTAAGAGATCTTATTCCCCTTTATCACGATTCCTTCGGTTTGTCTAAGATTTGGCTTTTCAAGAATTCAAAAATTTGAATTCTTGAGGCCAATGGAAGTCACAATTTGGCTATAAAATGTGCCATGTGATTCTATCAAAGACCATCCATCAACGAACAAAACAGACTACCTGAAAAACGATAAAAAACATCCAGTAAGATCAAAGAATCATCTGGAGTTTGGAAGTTGGAATGCCCCTGTTTGCTGCTCCCGAAAAGGTACACGGCCTCGCCCTTTAGATTTTTCTTCTCATCCATCGTCTTGTATGAAACTTTATTTTTCTTCTATCATTTTTGTATTCTTTTGGATATTTTCTAGTTCTCCACATTCTTACTGTTTGAATGTATGGTAATCCTCTGCCAAGTGAGTGTTTGTTGTTGTTATGAGTATTATTGAACAATTGTATTGTGTTTGTTGGTTGTAGCATCTCGGTAACGACATCTTTGGTTGTTTAATATTTGTTTACAGAGGTATACCTTACTCATGTTGTAGTGATGAGTTATGCTCGGCTAAATTTGTTTCACATCTAAATAGTGCTAAAGTTGCCTAATTGTCATCTTCTCGATAGTTTGGATTCAATCGTCATGTTCTCTGCACGTTAGGTCTACCTATTTGAGTTCCATAATCTAATTCTCCAAAATATTTAGCCTAGTTGGGTTTTATGATAGTTGTATGTAGAATTATCTCATTGTCTTTTGGGTGTAACAACTTCATTTTCTCTCTTCGCAGATCCCTTTGTTGTATTTAAATGACTTTTGATCCTTTTACCTATTTTGAAAATTCACAAATCAGTTGTCGTGTTGATTTGTCACTTAGTTCCCGCCATATCTCTTTTTTTGAAGGTCCATAGCTACATGTTGCTCCATGCCATTATTACTGCTTCTTGTTTGAGTTCGTCATATTCATAGCATGCCTCAATCTCTATAGATTTGTCAAGGAATGCTCCTATCTGTATTTAACTTTTCAAAATTTTGGAATGATAGTTAAAATAAAAGTATGAAAGTGCTCAACTTCGTGTTTAAATTTTCTCCAGTTCCCTGTCCCAACAAGCGGTTATTGTTTCTTGTGGTGATTTATCCAAGAAATCTGGTTCATGTTCATGTGTTGACAAAATTTAAGACGGATACTTTGTTTTAAAGCTTGTCATTGAAGGGGATGGTGATAATAAATGTTAGTGTTTGGCTCAGTAAATCCCTTTTTATATCATTTTTACTTGAATTAAAGTGTGCGACTGCTAATGTTAGCTCAGTAAATCCCTTTTTATATCATTTTTACTTAAATTAAAGTGTGTGACTGCTAATGTTGGCATATTCTAATTTTACTGACTTGATAAAAAAAATGAATCTAATCTTCTCTGTATTTCAATGTTTGTTTTTGTTTGCTCTTGATTATGTTTTATTCATTGGAATCACGTTTGGTATTAGCTGTTTTGGCATTAATAATTGAATTGCTAGTTTTGTCCTTAGCTTAAGTGTTCTTTTGTTTTCAATTTTACATATTGTTCATCCATGGTAAAAAACAATAATAATAATTTAGCTTTGGCTTAGTTGGTTTTCCCTTATCTTAATATCTCTTTCATATTCAGCTTTGGGGAATTCCTATAATCATGTAGATTAGCCAAGTTTAGCTTTTGTTTTCTTAGTTAGTCTCTGCATAAAATGTGTTTATCTAGGTCGTGTCAATCCAGTCACTACTTATTCCTATTTTGTATCTTGATAGCTTGGTTCATTTTTGAGTATTATATATGGTGTGCAAGTTTCTGTTTTCGTATGAAGTAAGATTTTGTTTAAGTTACCTGTTTGAACTTGCCCTTTTTTTGTATTTTTTTTTACTTTCTTCATGGCTGTTTTTGTATAATTCAGAAAAAAAAAATGCGAAATAGAGACCCATTAGCTCTTCTTTTTCTATTTGGTATGTTTCAAGTTGGCATTAGCTTTGTGCGTGGTCTCGCAATGTTTTCATAATGTTTCTCTTACATCTTAAAGACATGAGAATGTCCGAATTATGTGGGTTATTATTTGTCTAGACTTTTGGACACAAGATGGAATATGAACACATTCATGAATATGATCATCTATCTTCCTGTTAAAGATTTGGTCCTGTTTAGAAGAGGTGATGGGATAGTCCTTGATTGATTATGGCCAAGATTTAATGTGTATTCATGAACAAAATATGTGAAGGTTTTGGGTGATTGCGTCCAAAGCTATCGTTTCTTAAATAAGAAGAAATAGTGAAATCTTCAAGGAATTTTATTCTTATGAACTTGCTAAATCTTGATTCTCTTCAAAAAAATAAAAAAAAATAACAAACGAGCGCTTAATTCTTATTCATATTGAAAAATTTGTGGTCCTCTTCTTTTGGAAATAAATCATGTTTGTATTCAATATATTTAGAATAAATCTCTCAATGGTCCAGAGGTTTAGAATATATCAAACCTTAGGCTCAAGGTGTTCAGGGTCGTCTTAACCCCTAGGTCACTAAAGCCATCGTTTGGGGGCCCCCATTTTGAAAAACAATTACTTATATATGTTATTTTTGTAAAAATAAATTATATGTACTATGAGTGTTATGATTTCTGTTAAAAAAATTGCATATGAGATGAAAATAAACCTGAATTTCATAAGAAACAATTTGATGAAAATGTGGATTGGGAAATCACAAAGTCTTTTGAAGAATCTATTAGTGTTTATTGCTTTATATATGTAGGGTAGTTCAAAATAGATTTGAACCAATTGAAGAATATGAAAATATTTTTGATTTCTTATTTAGTGGTAAAATATTGTGATCACTAGATGATGAGAATTTTAAAAATAGTGTTTTAACCTTGAACTTTCTTTAACATGTAATAGTTATTCTGATATTGATGGTTTAAATTTATTTTTTGAATTAAAAATGTTAAGGGAAATAATAAAAGTAGAAGATAATAATCTAACGAAAATACTCAATCAAATAAAAAGAGTTGATTATTTTTCAAATACACATTGTTTTTGGTGAAGATAAAACGTACTCTAGTCTCTGTTAATCTTTTGGACCGATTGAGCCTCATATTTCTTCAACACTGTCATAATCTTCTTCAAATAATATTTGTGGATTGATTTAAATATAATAATATCATCTGCATAGGCCAGATGATTTATATTAGCACTCCATTTCGACATTCCATATCCCTGAAATTGTCTTTCCTCAAATAAAACATTTAGGGCCCTTGATAAAACTTCAACTAACAGTATAAATAGTATAGGGGATAGAGGGTCCCCCTGTTTCACCCCTCTAGTGGAATGAAAGAAACCATGTAATTGCTCATTTATTAAAACATAATACCAATTATTGGCCAGTAATCTCCATATCAGGTCAACAAAGTTTCAGCAAAGCCCAATTTCCTTAGCACCTTCATCAGGAAAAACCAAGAGATTCTATCATAGGCCTTAGCCATATCAAGCTTAAAAATAACGTTTGAAGGTTTACCCCTCTTTCTGATATCTATACCAATCTCCTGTGTTAGTAACACATTTTCAATAATACTTCTACCTTTCACAAAACCTGATTGGTTTAAAGAGATTAATTTGGGCAGTAAACCTTCCAAACAACCCTAGAAATGATCTTGTTGATAACGACTCAAGATAATTGGCCTTAAATCAACAAAGGTGTTAATCTCATCCTTTTTGGGCAGTAAGATAAAATTAGTATGAGTAATTAACTTGGGTAGAGAGTTATCCCTAAAAATCTCTTGGACCATTATGAAAATGTCTTGACCTATTTATTTTTTTTGAAATAGGTAACTTTGTATTCACACAAAAGACTCGTCAAAATCGATGAGGTGGGATTTACAAACCCCCAGGGGGTGCCATCATACTTAAAACCAAAAAGACAACTAAATTTACAATTGGCTTTTAAACTCCACAAGGCTATCTACTTCCCCCACTAAATTTTGCTTACACCAAAAATACAAATGACTACGACATCTCATCTTGATCTCCTGTGGGCTGCTAACCTTTCCTTCATAAATCTCTCATTCCTTTCCTTCCATAGTGTCCACCATATGCAAGAAGGGATATTTTTCCACCAGTCTTCTTTTGATCCTCTCTTTCCGATTCCTTGCCAGTGTGTTAGGACCTCAAAAGTTGTTCTGGGCATTGTCTAGTTAACCTCGAGTATACAAACGAACATGTTCCACAGATCTGTAGCTATCTTGCAATGCAGAAACAAATGACCATTTACTTCAGTCTTCTGTCTGCACATATAGCACTTTGAACAAATCTGTATACGTCTTCTTTGTAGCACTTCATGGGTGAGACAAGCTCTTCTAATTACCAACCAAGTGAAGCATGCAACTTTTAAAGGAACCTTAATTTTCCAGATTAATTTCTAGGGCCAAACTGTTGTCAAGAAACGATTGTTATTCCTCTCCCAATAACATGACTTAACTGTAAAAACCCTCTGCTATGCAGTCTCCAAACTGGTTTGTTAGGCTCTGTGACAGTGCCTGGAAACAAGTTTAAAGCATGCAGTAGGTCTGCTACTCTTCCAACCTCCCAATCATTTAGAGCCCTTCTTAACATAAGGTTCCAACCTTGAGGGCTCCACATCTGCGCTATAGTGTCATTTTGCTGTAGACTGATAATGTACAGATCAGGAAAAAGTATCCTCAGATTTACATCACCTAACCAGGTCTTATTCCATAAACTGGTCTTCAAACCATTCCCCACTCGGAAGGTCACCTTTGCACTTAAATCAGGCCACATTCTCCTGATGGTTTTCCATACAGACCACCCAAAAGTGCCATTCACCTCTTCAGTTATCCAGTTGCTTGGTAGGCCATATTTCTCAGCAATAAACCTCCTCCATAATGCCATATCTTCACAACATAATCTCCACAACCATTTTTGTAGCAGACTGGTGTTCTGAGTACTCAAATTCTTAATGCCCAGACCTCCTTGTGCTTTGCTCATTGTCACCTCTTCCCATTTAGCCAGGTTGTATCATTGCTTCTCTTTATTTCCTTACCAGAGGAAAACCCTTCTCAACTTGTTGAGTTTCTTTCCAATACTTTTTGGTAGTGGAAAAAGACTTAGCATATAAGTCGGAAGTGCATCCAGAACTGATTTTATGAGAGTCAATCTACCTCTCAGGGATAGATATTGACTCTTTCACCTTTTCAGCTTCCTTTCACTTCTCTCCAAAACTTCACTACATACTTCCAATTTTTTGTTCTTGGCGCCCAAGGGCATCCCCAGGTATTTGGTGGGAAGAGAAGCTACTTGGCAGCCCAAGTTGTCGGCAAGGCCTTGCATGTCATTAACTTGATTAACCGGGAACAAGTAACTCTTCTACCAGTTCACATGTAGTCATGATATGCCTTCAAAAATGGTTAGTATTGCCCTAAAATGTTTAATTTGTGACACTTCTGCACCACAGAACACTAAAGAGTCATCCGCATATAGAAGGTGTGTGACCTCCATATTATTGGCTCTGTTTGTATGTGCACCAAAACTTCTTATCCACCCCATTTCATTAGCCTTTCTGACCATGTAGTTGAGTCCCTCAATTGCTAGGAGAAATAAGAAAGGAGACATATGATCTCCTTGTCTCAATCCCCTTTGTGATTGAAAAAAACCTTCAGGGCTCCCATTTATAATGATTGAGAACTTCACTGTTAACACGCAAAACTTGATCCAATTCACCCATTTCCTCCCAAACCCCATGCCACTCAGAACTTTCAAAAGGTAGTTCCAATTGACATGGTCATATGCCTTCTCTATATCCAATTTGCATAGGATGCCTGGTATCTTTTGTTTTTCCCTGGAATCCACCAACTCATTAGCCAATAAAGAGGCATCCATTATTTGTCTGTCCTTCAAAAAAGCCATTTGGTGCTCATTAATCAGTCTCCCCATCATTGTTTTCATTCTCTCGGTGATCAGCTTAGCGATGATTTTGTACATCCCACCAATCAAATTTATTGGCCTAAAATCCTTGAGTTTCGCAGCTTCGAGCTTCTTGGGGATTAATACCACAAAAGTGGCATTCAAAGATCTTTCAAACACTTCATTTTTATGGAAATTGTGGTTTGTTTGCATTACATCACTCTTTATGATCTCCCAACACTCCTTGAAAAAAAGCATAGTAAAACCATCTAGACTAGGGGCTTTGTCCCCATCGCACAATTTGAGAATGTGTATGTAACGACCCTAAAAACGAACTAGTGAAACTAGAGCCTCACATGTGAGTTTGAAGTTGAGAACTTGATGAAATGATGAGAAATGACAGTGACGTCCGGAAACTAGTCGTTCGAACTAGTGAGTTGTAAGGGTCTTGTCGTTGAAGTTTGGAGTGTTGTTTAAGGACTTAAGGGGTTGATTAGCTAGTTGATTAATCACCTTTATAATCTAGCAAGACCTTAATCTAGGTCATGAAATCATTTAGAACCGAGACCCTCAAAACAGTCCCCTAAAAACAGTTTTTAGTTTTAAGTTAGGAGTGAGGGTCAACTTTAAATGGTCATATCTTTTACCTCAAAATGAATTAGGTCGACCATTACCTATCCAATTAAAGGTATCTGAGTCCTCTTTCCAACGCCACCGAGTTTTCCCTTTTCCGATCTCGGAGTAAAAAGTTATGCCCAAAATAGTGAAGCACTGTCAGCAAGGACGAGCTTAGACGGGTTTAGTGGAAACTTTTAAGTGGGTCCTTATTTCTTTTCCTAAGTTGAGCCCCTTTTATTATATGCCTTTCCTAGCAATTATAAAACCCTTCTAGACCAAATTCTTCCATTTTAAGTCACTCTAATTAGAATTAAAAAGAACTCACCTCCTCTCAAATACTTTTCTCTCTACAATCCTCCATTTTAAGAAGGTCAAGAACTTGGAGCTAGGGCTTGGATTGAAGGTGGTTTCTTCATCAATTTTCTTGGGGAATCTTAACAAAGGTATGGTGACCCTTGATCCTTGATTATCTTTCCTTCAAGGAGTCCATTAAAAAGGGTTTCAAAAGTCTTCAAAGAACAAAACTTCTATTTTCTATTCTAGGTATGGGTTCATGGGTAAAATGTTTTCAAAGTCATTATATTGGTGAATTGAAGTTGTATTTATGATTTTAAGATGATTTTATATGAAACTTCTTCAAGAACCCATGTTTTCATTAAAAGCATCGAATTTGCTTATGAAGTGGGTTTAATGCCTATGATTTAATGTTGATGAAATTGTGTTTAGATCGGATTGTATTGTTGATTTATATGGTTTTGTATATCTATTTATGATGAATTGTTGGTATATGGATGAATTGAGGATTGTGGCCTTATGGACAAATTATGGGTGAATCACCTTGTGGTGATAGAATTGTTGGGAATTGAGTAATGGTTATTATGGCTTTGGAGGATGGTAAGTTGGCTTAATCTCATATTATGGATAAAATTGTTCTTGCTTGGTTTGATCCACTTATGGTGGAGGTGTTTAATTATGGAATGTATTGTGACCATGGCCTTGAAGGCATAGTATGAGAAATTGAAGTGTTATCATGACATTGTATGAATGAGAGTTCAATGAAGATAATGTGATCATGTTATGAATGTAAATGTGTTACTATTGAAAGATTATTTCTCAATTTGACACTCATGAATGTTGATGATAGAATATGAAGGATTCTCCAATTTATTGCATATCTCGAATTGGTAGAGCTTGTGCATCCTTTTCTTGTTTAAATGATTATATTGTTGGTTGTGGAATCCTCGAAGCGGTAGGCTAGTAGCACCCTTCCAATCATGATAATAATGAACCTTGGAATCGGTAGGCCTATGGCACCTTTCCATGAAGGTTAATGATGAGACTTGAACCGATAGGCCCATGGCACCCTTTCAAGAGGAGTTAATGAGCTTTCCTAAATGAACCTTGAAACGGTAGGCTTAAAGCACCATTTCACATGTTAATGAATGTAATTTGGAGTTGGTAGGCCAATGGCACCTCTCATATGGGATAATGTGAGCATGCTTATTTGAGTTTTGGAAAAGGTTGCATGATGGGCTTTAATGAGAAAATTGCATATTGTGTCCTTTGATGTTATGATGAGCATGAGATGATTAGGAAGACCCTTCTCAGCTTGTTGAGTTTCTTTCCAATACTTTTTGGTAGTGGGAAAAGACTTAGCATATAAGTCGGAAGTGCATCCAGAACTGATTTTATGAGAGTCAATCTACCTCCCAGGGATATATATTGACTCTTCCACCTTGTCAGCTTCCTTTCACTTCTCTCCAGAACTTCACTCCATACTTCCAATTTTTTGTTCTTGGCGCCCAAGGGCATCCCCAGGTATTTGGTGGGAAGAGAAGCTACTTGGCAGCCCAGGTTGTCGGCAAGGCCTTGCATGTCATTTACTTGATTAACTGGGAACAAACAACTCTTCTGCCAGTTCACATGTAGTCCTGATATGCCTTCAAAAATGGTTAGTATTGCCCTCAAATGTCTAATTTGCGACACTTCTGCACCACAAAACACTAAAGAGTCGTCCGCATAGAGAAGGTGTGTGACCTCCATATTATTGGCTCTGTTTGTGTGTGCACCAAAACCTCTTATCCACCCCATTTCATTAGCCTTTCTGACCATGTAGTTGAGTCCCTCCATTGCTAGGAGAAATAAGAAAGGAGACATGGGATCTCCTTGTCTCAATCCCCTTTGTGATTGAAAAAAACCTTCAGGACTCCCATTTATAATGATTGAGAACTTCACTGTTGACACGCAAAACTTGATCCAATTCACCCATTTCCTCCCAAACCCCATTTCACTCAGAACTTTCCAGAGGTAGTTCCAGTTGACATGATCATATGCCTTCTCTATATCCAATTTGCATAGGATACCTGGTATCTTTTGTTTTTTCCCTGGAGTCCACCAACTCATTTGCCAATAAAGAGGCATCCATTATCTGTCTGTCCTTCAAAAAAGCCATTTGGTGCTCATCAATCAGTCTCCCCATCACTGTTTTCATTCTCTCGGTGATCAGCTTAGCGATGATTTTGTACATTCCACCAATCAAACTTATTGGCCTAAAATCCTTGAGTTCCGCAGCTCCGAGCTTCTTGGGGATTAATACCACAAAAGTGGCATTCAAGGATCTTTCAAACACTTCATTCTGATGGAAATTGTGGATTGTTTGCATCGCATCGCTCTTTATGATCCCCCAACACTCCTTGAAAAAAAGCATAGTAAAACCATCTGGACCAGGGGCTTTGTCTCCATCGCACAATTTGAGCATGTGTACCACTTCCTCTTCTGAAAATGGTCTCTGCATCCATTCCTGCTCCTCTTGGTTTATTCTTGGGCAATTTGTCATCACAAATGATAGCCTCCAACTTTCTGATTCAGTGTATAGCTTCTTGTAGAACTCTGATTATATTATCTTTGATTTCCTTTGGATCTTTATTCTCCTACCCATTGATAATCAGCCTATCGATGGTGTTGCACCTCCTATGAGCTGTTGCTACTCTTTGAAAGAACTTGGTATTATCATCACCTTGTTTCAACCATAACACTCTGGACTTCTGTCTCCACCTGGACTCTTTATTCTTCGCTAATTCTTCTAGCTCGACTAGAACTGTTGCTCTAATCATCATCTCATCCTCTGTCAGCACCCTATCATTCTGGATCAGATCCGTCTCAACTAGCTCACTTAACAAGGTGTTCTTCTTGTTGTTAAGTTCCTCGAAAGTTACACTGCTCCAATCTTTAAGTTTTTGTTTTAGCATCTTTAGCTTCATACTGAATTTGAAATCTGGGCATCCTTCCACAACAAAATCATTCCACCAGTTCTGGACTAGATCTTTGAAACCTTCTACATTAAGCCACCAGTTCTCAAATTTGAAATAAGCCTTCCTTTGTTTCCAATCACCACATTGTAGCATAATTGGGTTGTGATAAGATATAACTCTAGGCATAATTTGTTGCCTTATGTTTCTAATTTGTACTTCCCACTCAATTGAATAGAGAAACCTGTCCTGTCTTGCAACACTGTAGTGGTCAACCCCTCTGTACCAGGTAAAGATCCCACCATTTAAATGAGGGTCATGTAACTCCATATCATCTATCCAACTCAAGAATTCAGCCATTACATTGGTTATTTTTCTGCATCCTGTCCTTTCTGCCATTGTTCTGACAGTGTTGAAGTCCCTACAGGTGACCCAGGGGCTTCCACATAGCTCCCTAACTGCTGCAATTTCTTCTCAGGATTCCAGTTTATCAGCTCTGGTGTGTGGAGCATATACACCAGTAAGAAACCAACAAAAACCATTGTGGACAACTTCAAATTTGTAAGTGATTGAGTATTTGCCTTCCTCCATACTCTTGAATCCCACATAATTAGTATCCCCCAACTACTACCATCAGCTTCAGAATACCCGCATTTCATCCATCTACTAGACCACAATTGTTTGGCTATCCCCTCTACATCTTTATTGATTTTTGTCTCCTGAAGGCAATAAACATCAGCTCTCCATTTCACAAGAGAGCTCTTAACCAGATTCCTTGCTGAAATCTTGTTAATCCCCCTGACGTTCCATGATAAAATATTTACTTTCATTTAAGAGTTAGTGATAGGAATCTCCCTTTGTTCCTTACACCTTCAACCTCCTCGTTCAAGTCTGACTATAAGTTCTTCAACTCATTCTTGCCAATTCCTCTGTGACGAGGTGTTGACACAACACTGTTTGCCCCTTTCTTTTCCATCACACTCTTTCTTTCATCGAGCTTCATTAGTAATACATGTGTTTCTTCCCTTAAACCTTCAAATGCCACTTCATAAGTTTTACTGAGCTCCAAATTATGTGACTTTACCCAACTGGATGCTTCAATCTCGCCGTCTGTATGGTACCTAGGGTTTTGTATGGAAATCGACTCCGCATCGTGAATCTGTTGAATTTGCATGCCTCATTCCACTAGTTCTTGTACCCCTGAGTTCTCCCCAAAATCCTTAGAATGATCAATCCCCTTTGCTTTGTTGCATATTAGTTCAACAGCCTCTTTCGTCTTGCTTACCAACTCTTTGTTTTTATGAGCAGAGATCTCGGTGTTTTCCACCATACTCGAAGTTTCCCATTTGTTGTAAGACTGTAAGAACGGGCGTCGCTAATTCCTTGATACCACTTAACCCTTCTAGAGATTCCCCCAGCTTATCACGTGCCAAGTCAAACTTTTTATTGACCAGGCCCCCCTCTTTATTTTGTTCTGACCCCAATCTTAGAATTGGGCTTTGTTTTGAGTTGGGCTCACCTCGGCCCACTATTTCGTTTGACTTGGAGGACTGCCCACATGCCTCTGTCACAACACGTGCTCTACGAGCTGTAACAATTACTTTTTGACTTTGCAGAGGATCCTTACCTTTACCCAGTGGTTTTCCACCTCGTGACCGTTGAGTACTGACCTCGGAGTTCAGGTCTTCTCCGGCAAACACTCTTACCAGCAATTCTGCCCAAATTTGCATCATGTAGCATATTCTTCCCCCGTCGATGGTCACTTCTTTGGGTATGTCTGCCCCATCTCCTTTGATTTTGATTCTTGCCCATTTGAGATGATTTCTCAATTGGGTTTCCTCTTCCGTCTCTACCCACCCCCCGTAGAAATCTCCGATGACCTTGAAAATTTTCTGATCCCAAAAATGTAAAGGCAACCCTACAATTTTTACCCAAGCTGAATTTTCTTTACTCCTTCCGCATCTCGTACCTATTGTTGGATTCCACCATTGGAGGATAACTGGATTATTCCTCCACTCCCAGTCTCCTTCAATCACTTGCTCTGTTGTGACCTTAAGTGCAAACTCAAATAGAAAGAGTCCATTGCCCATTTCATAGATGTTCAAGCTGTGTGTTTGTTTCCACAGTCGTAGCCCATCCCCTGATTTCTGGTAGGGTCACTGTTTCTCCGGCTCTAGGTTCAAATGCACCCACCAAATTTCTCATTAGCACTTCATTGTACTCCTCTGGATCATCGTTGATAAAGATTCTATCCCTTTTTAGAGCTGCCTTCTCTTTTTCAGCAAGTTTTGAATCTTTATTAGCCCATTTAATGTGCCTTAGCACTGTAGCATATGGAATGTCTCTGCTCATCAGCCTGTGATTGCTCCCATTCATTAACTTTCTACGACTATTAATGAATCTTCCAACCTTTTCCGCATTGCTCAACCACCCTGAGTTAAAATTTAATTCAAGAATGATGATAACTTCCCTCCTTCTGCCTTTTACATTTATTAAACTGATGTAGCACCCATATTTATTGTAGTTCCTTGAACAAAAAACTTCTGAGAAACCATCGTTTTTCTTCCATCTCTTCACCATATTCCCCTTTGTCAATGATGCCTCTCGTAAAATCTGCACGATCCATTCCATTGACTTCTCATTAAAAGTCGTTCTCGTTATAGATTTTCTATTTCTTTCTGTCCAATCATACCAAGCTCCCGCCGTACCAGGTGTTAAGGCTGGCAACGGAATCGGTAGGTGCCGGTACCGGTTCCGGTCCGTTACCGATTACGTCTCGGTTCCGGATAGTACCGGTTAGATCCGGCAGTGTACCGGTTCGGGAGGGGTAACGGGACGAAAACCGGGATTTACCGGTCCGTCCCGGTCCGGTTCGGTCAGTTTTTTTTTTTTTTTTTAATCTGAAATTTCAAATTATAGCCGTTGGGAAACGGGTTTTGGGCCCCACCAACGGCTCTTTCACCCCCATAACCCCCCTTTACACCTCCCTATCCCCCAAACTTCTTAAAACTACATTTTCATCCTTTTTTTTAACTATAAATACCCCTAATCTTTCATTCTTTTCACTCACAAAAATATCTTCTAATCTCTCTACTCTCTACTCTCTAAATTCTCTTATTCTCG